GGTGGAAGATAGAAAGAAGAAGAGGAGAGGGAGGGGGGGAGGAGTTTAGGATGGAGGAAAGGGTAGAAAGGTGAGGGGGGGAGGGAAGACAAGACACAGGGTGATACCACTGAAATCAAGAACAACCTCACACCGGACTGAGAACCTCCCTCAACTTCACATGTATAAATGCCTGCCTCATCTATCTGTCCTATCTGTCTGCCCCATATTTATGTCCCATCTATCTGACCCATGTACTTACTGTAATTTCCCTATCGTCTCTTCCAGTTTCTCTCTCTTCACTTTAATGATGGGCCTGGCATTGTCACATCTGTGAGCACTATCTACCTACTTGTCCCGTCTATCTGCCCAAACAAATCTATCCTGTCCATCTGTCCTATTTACCTGTCCCATCAATCCGTTCCATATTTCTTGTTTTTCCTATCCATCTGCCACATCCATTAGCCCCATCTGTCAACCCGAACTATCTGTCCAATCTGTCAACCCCAACTATTTGCCTAATCTATTTGTCCCATCTGTCTACCCCACCTATTTTCCCCATCTATCTGACCCATGCACTCACTGCAATTTCTTCATGGTCTCCTCCAGTTCCTGGAACTCTTGTCTCTTCTCTTTAATGATGGCCACTGCCTTGTCACATGTGTCTTTGTCCCCCTCCAGGGCATCATCACCTGGCTTGAGCTGGTGCCAGCGGGCAGTGAACTTGTCCACTTCCTGTTCAAAGGCTTTGACCCGTGACTGGACGTTGCTCTTCATAACTTCCACCTGGAAAGCAAAGAAGAATGGTGAGAAACTAACGGCTTCCTCAGTGCGTATGATGAGGATCAAATCCAGACCTTTCACATCACATTTGAGACTTGTCACGAATCAGTTATTTTCTTCCCTTTGCTTCTCCTGTGCACAATTTGAGTGTAGAGTGGCTTATCGACATGATGATGATAGTGCATGGAAAAAGCAATACAGACAGACAGAAGCAACATAACGAAAGAAAAGATGGAGGACATACCAGAGGCATCTTCCAACCACCTGTTTCATACACAGTGACCTAAGCCTAAGCTTTTCCATTTGCCAAGAATCCTGTCTCCATGAACTTACTTAACATGAACGAAACTGAACATTCTTTTTTGTTCGTATATATTCAACAGGGAAGGAAATCACAGGTAATTTCTGAAAATATTTATGTAGAAAACAACCATTTAACGAATTATCACAGCAAAGAGCTTGGCTTTCAGCTTTTCTTTCTCCACATTGACACTTTGCACAACTACTTAAATGACATAGTTACCAACAACATGGACTAAAAATAGCAGCAACAACCATCACCACATCAAGACCAGTCATTCACTAGACCACACATCTATCTTCCCTCCAACCATCCACCAACCTGTTCCTTGACCACACACTGACCTGCTCCTTAACCACCCAATAACCTGTTCCGTAACTATCCACTAATCCATTCCTGAACCACCAATCAACTTGATCCTTAACTACCCACTAACCTGTTCCTTGACCATCAGCTGATGTGACTCCATCATGATCTCAAACTTGTCCCATCGACTCTGTAGCTGTGTCAGCGAGTCCACTCCTCCCCCAGCCACCGAGCGCAAAAGTTTATTCTTGCTCTCAGCCTTCTCAAACAGAGGCTTCACCTGAGGATTGGAGGGATTGGAAAAGTCTAAACCCCCATCGTTATAATTTATATCATTTCAAATACCGGCTGCGCTAGTCCTGCCCGTCAGGGGCTAACGTGGGCTGAATGTGATGCAGTGTTACAGTCGAAATTGTACAAGAAGACAACGTATTGTTGACGAGAAAGGCGACTGTCTTTGACATTGCACATTTGGACAGTGTCATTATAATATTTAAACAAAACACAAAGGGGGAAGTGGGAAGGGGTCATTTGTACAGATGATAGTGTTGGACAGGTGACTGTTAGAGCAGGTTCGACTGTATGTGATAAAATAACTTCCCAACTAGGGAGTACAGCTCTGTTCTTTCTAGTTAGCATTTGTAGTACAGATGTATAGAAATAAACCCCTATCAAAATTATAAGGTCATTTAAGAGGCAGGATCTGTGAATGTAATATCCATCTCTGGTAGGACCTTGCCAAGTGGATGGAGGGCCTTGAAAACTTCCCAAATAATTGAAGTTCAAGAACTGCCCATTGGGGATTGGACCAGGGTCATCCACACCAGCAGTGCAGCATGATACAACTGGGCTAATGGTGTGCATTTGTTGTAAAGTTTCTCGAGCACTGCAAATTTAAAAACATAGGCAATTTATATGGTATCTATTGTCAAATTGTTGATGAGGACCAGTAGCACTGTACCAAAATTTGTTTTATAATTCGGAATCAGAACAATTAAAATGGAATCCCACCAAAAAGACCCAAGATTAATGAATCAAACTGTATCAAAATAACAATTTTAAAAAGATGAAAAAAACTCAAACTTAACGTTTGACAAAATATCAGTAAGTTTATAATAAGGTAGAAATGCATAGGAACAAATGTATTTACTGTTTTTTTGGTAGCTCCAAACTCTGTGTGCTTGGCATTGGCCTCCCCTATCTCCTCCACAGTCTGTGGCCGCTGTGACAGTGTGTCCATGGCAGAGCTGACAAATGTGTCAATGTCACTGACATCTCTGTTGATGGACTTACGCAGAGAGTTGAGGAGTGCGTCAAACAGTCTCTGGATGTGGTCGTCGATCACGGCCTTCACGGGGGTCGTGTTTACTGTGATGCAGTCTACTTTGATTTGACTGAAGAGACAAAATCATAACTTTATGAACAATGCCCAAGAGGAATCTTTATGAAGAACCATATCCCTATATCAGGAAGACCCGAAAGTATTCTCTATGAACAATTATATAGCGAGCACTCTTTGACAGCAAATACATGTTGAGTATTCTAAAATAACAACTGGGTCAAGCGTATTCTGTTATAAAATAACTTGGCCAAGGATATTCTATTATACATACTAGGCCAGGATATTCCATAATAATTACTATGACGGTATTCTGTAATAACACTAGGTCAACAGTATATTATAGTAACAAGTAGATTAGGAGTATTGAACAATGATAACTCGATTAAGAGTACTCTGTAATAATGCAGTCCATTTATTTCTTGGGGACTTACTTGGCAATACCTGTCCCACCTATTCCACCACTCCCATCCCTTTCCTCCATCTTATAAGTATTCTGTACAAACAATAGGATCAAAAGAATTATCGAATGTTACCTGGGCAGTTTCTCAGCATCCCGACCTCGGGCTTTGAGAGCACGGAAATTCTTCTCCCAGTCTGAGATCTGTACTAGGTTGTCCTGGACAAACTGATCCAGGTCAATGGCTCCCAGCACTACCCAGTCCTAGGAAAAGGGAGGGGCAAGGGGGACAAGGTGAGGAAAATATGCAGATGGGGAAATTGTTAAGAGTCGAGAAAATCACATTGACAAGATGACAATTATTTAGTGCAAAAAAAAAAGTAAGACAGACAGACAAAAGCAATAGATGGAAGGAAAAGGAATAAGACCTACCAGTGGTACCCTCCTACCACATGCGGTTAAAAGAAATATGATCAGCAAAATACATGACAACCAAATAGGACATCTCTGATCTTGAATCAACTTTTTTAAGACTGTTATTTGACTTATCTTTCTTCTTCTTCTTCTCCTTCTCGATTTTCCTGTTGTTGTTGTTGTTCTTCTTCTTCTTCTTCTTTCTCTTCTCTACTTCTTATCTTCATTTTCTTCTTCCTCACAATATTAGGATTGCATAGCTATAGCTTCTTCTGCTATTGATATGCATGCACACACCTGATACCCAACTGAAACGTAGCATCCTTTAACATCATTTGTAAGAAGATATTTTTACCAATTTTCCTTTACCAGAGTTTTTTTTAACCTTTGGATAGAAACTGATTTCGAGTTCTTCCAGGGCAATTGACTCTAGCAGTCTTATTTTTCTTAAAATTGGAGTCACAAAAGACAGAAAGTCATCGCTAAATACAAACTACTTAATTTGAAGTGTACAAAAGGCTTTGTTCGTAGCCAGATTTGTCATCTAAGTTTTCAGTATCACAAACTTCCAAGTAACTCCACCCCTATTTAACCTATTTGCATAAAATATATACCAAACTGAGCAGAGATGATTGACCAGAGCAGTAAATATACAATTTGATTATTATAGATGAGATGAATTTTCTGATTTTTGACAGTTTTTTTATTTTTTAATGACAGTAAGCAACTGAGCCAGCTGAACTGGCGCACTGTATAATAAGAGTTAATATCACAATTTATTTGACTGCCTCCTATAGAATCCAAATGATACTGTATCCACAATGTTCAAAACAATTCCACTTCTTGACGAACAAGACAAACTTAACATGAGTATACCCAGGTCTACAGTAAAGAGAGTTCTCTGCCAGTACGTCCACATGTAACCATCTTGTTCAGCTCTCAGTGCCCTCTGACCCTGTCCATGTACCAACTCACCTTGAACTGTTCCTCCACCGAGGCCAGACGAGTAAACAAGATGTCTGCCTTCCGGTAGCATGTGACAAAGCTGCCAGCATTGCGGTCGATGATGGCAGTGAAAATGAGGTTGGAACCCCCGTCTCCAACGCCCTTGAAGTGGTTGGGGATGCTGATGAACTTTTTCATCTCACGGAAATATTTTGCCTTGATCTCTTCAAAAGGGGGACGGAACTGTAGACGTTGTTGTCTGAAGTGATGGACAGATAAGACAATGGGATGAATAATATAGAGCCTGGATACAACAATCTGGTGGGACAGACAGATAGGAAAGTAGCATGAATCGCATACAGCCAGGGTACAACAATTTGAATTATTTGTGAAAGGATTTTTTCTTGCTACAACAAGAAATTCCCTTTTTAGTGCCGCAATAATATGCACAATAAAGAAATAAAAATTGGTAAGTAAAGACGAGAGATTCTCTTCGTTAGTGCAGCAGTCAGAGGCACAGTAGCGAGAGAGAGAAAGAAAGAATTTAAGAGAACATAAGAGAAGATATTTGCGAGAAGCAGAATTGTCAGACAGAAATGGCTAGGTATCATGGGTAGCTTAATACTTTGCAGTCACACAGCCAGCAGTTCAAAATACCCCATCTGGTCACCCAGCCAGGAGAGTGACTGTAACGGACTTCTCGGGCCAGGCACAGAATTGCGTCAGGTGACCGGAACGGATTGTTCTCACCGGTGCATTATTGCGCCAGGTGACCGCAAAGTGTTAATATCATTTTGAAGCATGCTTGTACGACGCTTGTATATGTTACTTTTGTCTTAATCTGTTTCCCTGCCATACGTCACAGACAATTCCTCTCACGTGTCGATAGGCAATTTATAAATCTGCATCAAAACAGCACTACTTCCAGCAGTTGAACAGTACCATTCTCAACAGTTTATGTTCTCACTAACTGTATAGTAAAAAAATAGCTGCAGCTATCATTGTCGATTCTAGGGTGGTATTTTTGTACTTAGAAAGCAGCCTGTTATTGTCGTTTCGATGTTCTGATGTCGTCTGTGTGTATGTTCCACCTGCATACTTGGGAATCATGTTTTCATGGAAATGCAGACATATTGAACATACTTACAGACAATGACACAACAGTTATATGTCTATCCTTGATCTGGGGATATGGCAACCAGAAACAAAAGACAGAGAGAAAAGAAGCAGGACCTACCACTGCATATCTGTTGATTGCCTGTATTGGTGTGACATTGTGTATTATAGAATGAAGATTGCCTGCTTTTGTATGACACTGTATACTAAAGCATGTTGATCGTCGGTACTGGTTTGAGATTGTGTCTCAGAGCATGGTAATTTTGTCAGTATTGCTGAGATACTGTTAATTATTTACTTATTCACCTGTATGTGAGTTCCACTTTGATCTCAGGCAGGTTCTCGTTCAGCGCTTCCACCCCCAGCAGGTACTGATGTTCCAGAGCTTTGTACAGCTGCCTGTCCCAGTGGGCCTTCCAGGGGGTCATGTTCTCACTGGCGAAACCCTGCTGGACCAGGTGCGCCATCTGGTGGCGGATGTCCATCAGCACATCTTTCCAGCGCTGTTGCTGTCGCAGGAGGTCAATGCTCATCAGTTGTTGGACCTGTGACCAACCGCAGGGGAAAGTTAAGATGTTTCCTTGTTGTTGTTGTTCAGTTAGATTTGTTAGATTTTCTCTTGTTGTTTTTGTCACGCACTTAAATGTTTTCTTGCTATTATTGTCATCAAGTAGGATATTTTCTTGTTGTCATTGTCATTAAGCTTAACATTTTCTTGTTATCAAGTTAGACGTTTTCTAGCTGTTATTATCATCAAGTTGAACATTTTCTTGTTGTTATTGCCCTCGAATTAGATTTTTTGTTGTTGCTATGATTGCAGATGGGGAAATTGTTAAGAGTCGAGAAAATCACATTGACAAGATGACAATTATTTAGTGCAAAAAAAAAAGTAAGACAGACAGACAAAAGCAATAGATGGAAGGAAAAGGAATAAGACCTACCAGTGGTACCCTCCTACCACATGCGGTTAAAAGAAATATGATCAGCAAAATACATGACAACCAAATAGGACATCTCTGATCTTGAATCAACTTTTTTAAGACTGTTATTTGACTTATCTTTCTTCTTCTTCTTCTCCTTCTCGATTTTCCTGTTGTTGTTGTTGTTCTTCTTCTTCTTCTTCTTTCTCTTCTCTACTTCTTATCTTCATTTTCTTCTTCCTCACAATATTAGGATTGCATAGCTATAGCTTCTAGAGTTACAGTTTTCACAAAAGTGGTCACAGAAGTCACTACATTTCATAAGACACTCAACAAGAATAAAAGACAATTAGATATGATGTGACACCATGAAACTGTCTCAAAGCTGAGCCAACTCGCCTTTTCCGACACATCAAAGTGTGACTTCCTCAGCTTCCTGTTCTCAGTGGTCAGTCGGTCAGCAGCAGTCTGGAGTTTCTTGATGTAGTGTTCCATCTGTTCTGGGTTGTCCCAGGTCACCTGCACATCGTCTCCCTTTGCCTTGAAACCTGAGGGTCCAGTTAGTGACCGGTGGTCAATGTAAGAACATTCAAGAAATGTCAAGAATATTATAGAGTTCAAGTCAAAGCCTTTAATTACAGTCTCATATTTGACTAAAGTGATACTTTATAGTCTCATATCAAGATTTATTAATTAGTCTTATTTTATTATCACTTCACTTTTTTCCTTTAAAAAGAAAGGAATATGGGTAGGGATGGGGAAAGGGGATGGGTGACCCTAAAACCTAACCCTCCTCACCGGCTTTTGGACTTTTCACCAACTTCTCAAAGGCAAGCGCTGACTCCAACATCATGGCCTGTTGGCTTGGGATCATCTGCTGGTCGATGGTGTTGTAGAAGTGGGCCACCTGTGTAGGGGGATAATAATAATATTAATAATAGATAGCACATGTGCTTTACAATCTAAACACACATGTTGGGGAAGGGGGGGGGGTAAGGGGAGTGGGAGGGAGGAGGGAGGAGGGGGAAAGGGGGGGGGGGAATAAGCACATGTCACGTCTGCAGGTCAATTGTGCTGAAGAAATTAGCTTTCTACATCTGGGGAAACACATACACATCGACACAACAATGGTTATTTAATGTGTTGAAAAAGCAATATCTACAGACAGAAACAACAGACAGAGAGAAAAGAAGCAGGACCTACCACTGCAAATTGACTTAAAAAGAGAGCATACTGTTAACACAACAGACAGAAAATTCCTATTTGCCCCCCCCCCCCCCTTGTCTGTCTGTCTGATGTCTGTCTGTCTGCTGTCTATCTGTCTGTTTGCTGTCTGTCTGTCCGTCTTTCTGTGCCTCTCCCCCTATGTATAACCCCATCTCTGGTTCTCTTTCAGCCCCCCTCCCTTCCCTCCCCTCCCCTTTCTCTAACCCACTGATACACACAATTAAACCCAAACATTTCTCACCTGTTTAAGCACCACCCCGTGCCGGTAGAACTTCTGTGCCGTGTCAGAAACATGTTGTATCTTGACCGGCACGGAGAAGCCCATGGAGCTGAGCTGTCTGACCTCCCTTAGCAAAGTGACCAGCCTCTCGCTGTAGTTGACCCTCAGCTTTCCATCCTTGTGGTTTAGCTCCATCAACTTGCCACTCGTCTCCAGGCTGGTGGGGTGGGGAGGGAGGGGGATGGGAAGAAGATAACATATGTGCATTGATTAGAAAGTAGTTACGCTGCAGACAGTTTTAACAAAATAAATTATTATAGTGCACAAATACAAAAGATTAGAACTTACAACTTTGTACACTGTGCATGGCAATTCGCTGTCTCTCTCTCTCTCTTTCTCCCTCAGCCCATTTCAATCTTTCTCTCTCTGTTCTTCCCAATATATATTTCTCTCTATCTTTCTTTCTTTGTCTATTTCTCTCCCTCTTCTCCACCCCCCCCCCTCTCTCTCTCTTTCTCTGATTTCCCTGCTAAAGGTTAAAAGAACCTTTAATTTTAATTGTAAAAAATCATGTCAAATATAATAAGATCCCACCATGCTCAAAATGCCAAATGTCATCTCGCAGAATGACTTGACAGACTTCTGGTAGTCCTCAATGGGCACCAGCACACACACACAGAGAGAGAAAGAGAGAGAGAGAGAGAGAGAGAGAGAGAGAGAGAGAGAGAGAGAGAGAGAGAGAGAGAGAGAGAGAGAGAGAGAGAGAGAGAGAGAGAGAGAGAGAGAGAGAGAGAGGGAGAGAGTGAGAGAGAGAGAGAGAGGGGGGGGGGACGGATAGACATACCTCAGAGGCTTGCGGTGGTCCTCAATGAGCGCCTGCACTTCCCTGGTCCACTCATCAAACTGGTCCCGGCGCCAAGTCACCAGCTCCTCCTTCAGATCAGTCATGTCCTTCTGGAACTTCTGGTAGCCGTCAAGGTCACCCAGTAGCGCATCTGCGATCAGTCGGGTCTCATCAATCTGTCGAGAAATCAAATAATCAAATGTAGACGTACAACAGTGATGTTAATTTAACCATACCTTCAAAAACCGGTACGTTGAAGTAAAGGGAAACACACAAACATAATAATGGCTGTTCAGTGCAGGGAATAAAAGAGGCAGACAGAAACTACGGAGGGAGAGAAAAGAAGTTGGGTCTACCTGTAACAACCTCCAAACACCCACATATGTCAAGTTCAAAATAAAGAAATTGTTTAGACTTAAATGCTTATACATTCTACAACTCTTGAGTAAAGAGAAGCATAACAACATAATGGTCATTTTGTCAATGTCATTCCACTATTAAACCACTCAATTTAAGGGGTTTCCAGATACTGTTTTTCCAATAAAGACATCAACGAACACCTTGTGACATAATTTTATTTTGTTTCATTATTTCCATCCTAGTTTTTAACTGAAAAATTTCAAATGCCCAAGTTACGGCTCAGCTTTTGATGATATTTTTTTCTTTCATTTTCTCACATCAAAACATGACTAAGGCACTTGGAATGATGTTAGTGATTTAGTGCTGACAACAAGGAAGTAAAACATACTGATAGAACAACAAATGGAAAGAAAATAAGTCGCATCTACCAGTTGCCCTCCCCCCTCCCTCCAAAACCACATATATTACAGTGTAGAACTACAGCACATGTGCCTTTATCATAATTAATAATATTGAACCGAAGCTACTGCAGCCGTGACCCTGTCTGATCTATGGTGGCCTTAACCCATGCTCTGACCTTGGCCTCCAGCTGTCTGACAAAGATGATGTTGTTGACGATGCTGGGGTTGTTTTTGCCCTTGGGGATCTGACCAGAGCCGCGTCCTGTGCGAGAGTTGAAGTCCTCGTTGACTTGTCGCACATACGTGATCAGCTGGCCCAGGAGAGTCTCTCTGTACACACAAGCATGCAAAGTTTCAAGAAAACTGAAAAGATGGACCCTGAGGAATCATAATCAATGAAATCCCACCCTCTAAAGATTTAAAGGAGAGAAAATTGAAAAAATAAAACCCCATGTGAATGGCCTATGCTCGTTGTCTTGGTGCAAATGCTTGTACTGAACGCAATACCAAGGGATAATTTTGCATCAGTATTCTGAAAATTAAAGATTAATAGCATGTTCAGACCTATTTTTACCCATTTCCTACTCATTTCACCGATTCAAGATGTAGTTAAATGTGTTTGGGACATACTTTTCTGTCTACTGATGAAAAAAACTAAGAAAAAATATTCTAGCACCAACTTGAATGTGAATTGAAAGTCATCTCTCCCCTTAACAAACAAAACTGTTAGTACCGACAAACAAACAAGATTACACTATGTGTGAGAGTGTGTAAGTGCATTTTTGTTTATATACATGGTTTTATGTAAATGTGTGTGCGTGCGTGTGTGTGTGTGTGTGTGTGTGTGTGTGGGTGTATGTGTGTGCTTGTGCATGTGTGTGTGTGTGTGTGTGTGTTTATGTGTGTGCATTTGTGTGTATGTGCGAGTATGAATGTAAGTGTGTGTGTGTGTCTGCATGCGGGTGTGTGTGTGTGTGTGTGTGTGTGTGTGTGTGTGTGTGTGTGTGTGTGTGTGTGTGTGAGAGTGTGTGTGTATGAACATAAGTGTGTGTGTGTGTGTTTACCTCTCTGCTACCAGCTCCTTGGTGATAATCGGTCGACGTACCAGCTCTTTGTACCGCTGGAATTCCCGCAACAGCTGCAACAACAAAAAACAATAAAACATTTGAATATGCACATCTCTGCACTGCACAAATTTGGTCCCATGACAACCAAAAACACCAGATATATATCAGTATAAAAGATGTACAATATGAAGAACGAATAATTAATTTTCCATCTTTTTTTGTGTGCAATGTGCAACTTTATAGAGTGGGTTTTGTGATACTCAATGTTTTGTAAAACAAAAATACACATCAGGAAAAAACAACAACTCGTAAAAACATCTGGACACAAACCACTGCAGAAAAAATATGAACAGCCATATAATCAGTAAATATCCTGCACTATTGAGCTCTTATCCTTCAAAGTGACTGTTTCTCATAAGTACTAAGGCATCATATCTGTGTAATGAAAACTAGAAGTGACAAGTTATTTATTTTTGGACAAATGACTTCCCCAGACAGATAAACAATGCTACAGGACAGATAAAGCAATGTGTGACCCCACCACACCTCACCTGCTGTGGGTTTTGGTCTAGTTGCCTGAACTGGCTACGCAGTTTCCCTGCAATTCTTTGCTGCGCTGGCTCCATGGACCGCTCATACTGAGCCACGGCTGCCGCCCATAAGGGCTGGGTGTAGGGGTTGTATTGCAGAGGGTTCAAACCCAGGAAGGGGTTGAAGGCTTCAGCCACATTGAGTTCTTTCTGCTCTTGTGAAGACAACAGGCGTAGGAGCTGTTCATGGACTGTACGGATAGACAGGATCTGGAACCACCCAGGAGGTAGTGAGGAAGAAGGATGGGAGATTTTGGAAAGGGGGGGAGAAGAATAAAGCAGGAAATGATGTACACATAACTTAATTCTTGGATGATGGACAAGATCTGGATACAGGCAGGGGTGTAAGAAGCAGGAAATGACCAACAAAAGACATAACTGACAAACATATGACTCAACTCATTTTATCAAACACCACATAGCACAGCACTCCATGCCGGGATTTGTCACCATACTTCAGAGAAATTAACAGTAGTCTCACAAATAAATCAAATCTCTTTGATGGACACTTCTTCATATTGACTAAACTGACAATCAAACATGTGAAATAGTTTTGTTTTGCAACAATCTCATATTTACCATATACCCATAGCTCTCTATTGTGTTCGAACATTGTTTTGTATTACATCTATTGCTGTGACTCTAACTTTGGTCAAGTAACATCATCTCTTTGAAGCCTGTGAATATTGAGTACATGCATGATAGCCAAAAGTGGAGAATAATATTTTAAGGCTATAGTGGTTGAGTTATGATTACAGAATACAGGTTTACAAAGTTTGAAAAAAATCATACCTTCTTGAAGTATTTTAAAAGTATACACACATACACAAACAAATGGAGACACACAATCGTACCTCCTCCAACCTGTCTGCCAGTTTTTTGAGGTTCCTACACTTGCATGTTTCTCCTTTCCACGGGTGTGGTGCATACCTCTTCCAGAACTGTGAGGTCAAGGTCTCACACGAGCTGACCCAGCGCTCACACAGCCCAATGCCGGTCCTCAACGATTCACGCACAGAGCTAAACTGACCAGTCCACATGTTGACTGTAGCAAGTTTCTGCTGGACATAACGACCCAGAGACCCAGCTGTTCAGAAAACAAGCAAAAGATAAAGGATTCTTTAACTCCATAGTATCCTCATGTAGCGCACAAAACTTTTGGAATGTCTGAACACCAGTCTTCTTCCAGAGAAACATTCACTCTCCTCCAGGTGCCCTTCTACCTAGTTCATTTTTATTTTTAAATTGTAAATGTTTTACGCCTGAATTTACTCAATTTAGATCATTTGGAGGAAGTCTGCTTCAAACTTGCCTGTCAGGGCCAACTTGGGATGAGAGGGATATGAGGTTCCAAAAAAAGAAATAGGTGCCTAATTTTAAAAAACAAAGCTTCTCCACTCAGGAATCAATCATTCCCTTTCTATGTCCAATAGCGGAGTGCCCAACTGCTACACCACAGGTCCCTGTGCCTCAACCGTGCATAGTACACAAGAACCAAAACAGATTTCAATTCATTAAAGGAAACAATCTTCATTTACCGATGACCTCCATAAGATGCCTCATGCGTGGCTCAGGGTAGGGTGGCTCTCCTTGCTTCCACACATCGTCCAACGTGTCCTGTGTGATCTCCACCAGTTCCATGCTGTCCCCCAGGGGCATCGCATCCAGCCCCCCATAATCTTTGGAGATAGGACCAAACAGTTCCACATAGCTCTCCGCAGCTTCCCGTTGATCACCACTACCTGCACTGGACCGAGAGAGGTCTTGCCAGTACTGGAACTCATCCATGGGGGTCAAGATACCTGCACACAAACAGATAGACAAAGTATCGCTTTACCTGCACAAGGTTAGACGCACAGATTAATCAAACATGACGATATCTGCACACAGTCAGACAAACAAACAAAACAACAGAGCATCTACACATAGTCATACAAATAAGACATAAACATACCTGCAAACAGACAAAACCTTAGAGTACCTACACACAGATAGACAGACAGATAGACAGACAAACAAAACACGAGTACACTTGCACAGAGTCAGACAGACAAGGAAAAAAACCTGAGGGAGGATATCTGCCCTTGGTCATACAAGCAAAGAAAACATAGGACAATTTTACTCACTTGAATATGTTCTCAATATTATGTTTGTAGCCTACCGGTCACACATCAACACAATAACTCAGTGCCAGGAAAAAGTAACTCTTCAATGACTTAGAGAGAAAAATGGGCATGAAAGGAAAAAAAGCCTTTACTCAAACTCAAAACATTTGTGTAAGACATGATCAGTCCAAAACTAAGTGTACATAATTTCTTGACAGCGTGAATTCAGTCACAGGATATGGTTTGTTCCGGTAAAAAAATCCATATTGAGGCAATAAATGTCATTTGGTGCTGGCAATAAAACACGATACATCAACAAAAAAGTGAGCTAAAAAATCTCTGCTGTCCTCGAGAGTGCACTCTATTAGACCACTGGTCCTTGACCAAGGTTCAGTCAAACCACAGGGGTTTTGTGAGTCAGTCTCAAGGGTTCAGTGGAGGTCAAGAGAAATAAATGCACATTGTGCCCATTCCGTTCACCCCACTAAAGGGTTTGGTGAAAGCGTGTATCAAACTTGTGGGGTTTATTTCTTCAAACAAAGTTAAGAACAACTGCCTTAGACAGCTTATTTGCAGAAAATAGAACACTTCCCCACGTTCAATAAAGAGACTTGGCATGATAACAGTAAAAACAAAGCAAATAAAAAGTAAGTAAGAGAAAAAAACTGTTTGCTCACTGCCGAGATTCTCCTCTCCCCCGTCACCAGAACGACCCCTGAAGCTGGGGTCCTTCTTGCGCATGGCAGAACCCAGCCCAGCCTCAAGCTCACTCAGAAGACTCTGCAGTTTGGGGTCAAGGTTACGACTATACTTTCCATCGTCCAGAAGTAATGGAGCATACACCTGGACAAAGGATAACAATAAATAAATTACATTTTTTGGGTCCCCCTGAGGAAATTTGAGTTACAATGGCAAACAAACATGCAAACATAATTAGAAATGGCACGCGCGTGCGCGCGCACACACACACACACACACACACACACACACACACACACACACACACACACACACACACACACACACACACACACAAAAACAAAACAATTTCATAAACATGCCATTGCTGGTCGTCACTGTGCTGCACCCTATTTTTCGAGCTGGGGTTGTCTTGGCTTGCTCAAGGACACACCCCAATGACCACCAATCCAAATCACTGACACTTGCTTGACATTACTTTGAGTCTGAACTCATTGCTCACTTTGCCACTGTAGCCCCCAGAACTTAATGACACCACAAGAACTGAATTTTTACCAAAAGTAATGGAACATACGCCCTGGCAAACTGCAAAACTAAATAATAGCATAAAAGAACAATTGATATATTTCTTAGAACCTGATACAGCAGTAACATTAAGTGTTTTCTACTAAAGGGGTAGCTTTATTTATCAATAAAACTATAAACTTTCCATCTCACAAAACGCCAGTCTGTGTGAGTTTAAGTAATGATACACACTGATAAAAGAACAGAGAAGAAAGAAAGGACCTTCTTGCAATACCTTTCAACCACTAGTAAAGCCACTAGGCCATTGAGAACCCCTATGATATTATAGGATCTGTTAATTTTTCAGCATCAAAATTTTGTGAACATGATTTTTACCTCTTCAAAGAAAAATATACAAAGACAATTTAAACAAAAGTCGACTGTCTGATACCTATTTACAGAGGTGTTCGCTATGAACAGTAGACAGTCATTTGAATTAAACCACCTTGCAATGACACACACATCTCTAGGCATGAGAGAAGGAAGAATCGAGAAAAACAGAGGAGATTACAGGAGACCGACTTGTCCTCACCTTTTGCACAGCATGGTACAAAGTGTTCAGAGGGGAGTCAATCATGGATGACACAATGATGTTGGACTGAGTGTTGTCTGGAGTGATTGCTTCAGGACGGATTTTGAAAAACACAATCACTCTCTCCTTGGAATCTGATGATTCCACCTGAAATGCAAAGGGTAACATGATAATAGAAAGAAAAACCCCCACAAATATAGTGAACTTTTAAAGAAAAATAAGTTAAATCTTAGCTTCAAAAATGAATATAAGGAAAAGCAAAAATTGTTGATATACTGGTGAGACTTCTAAAAGAGTTTAGTTTAGTTTTTGTAAGAGTTGTACGCCACTTGCAACATATGGATCATCTATTATCTATTTGTGGTGGCCAAATTTTGCTATTCAAAAGGCTTTTTAATGGCTGCATCGATCGACATGCGGTTTTCGCCAAAAGATTCTTCAAAATATTCTCCAGATCATGACCCATGGTTTCTTCAGTTTTGAGACAGTTTTGCTGCAAAAAGCTAAATTTCTTTATTTTGTTGATCGCTTTTGTAGGCCGACGCTTCTGTCTCTGTAATTTTAGAAAATCCTCCAGGTTTTTTTTTTTTTCAAGTCGTACTTCCGTTCGATACTATCGCGCATTGTCGCGCACTACTGAGCACTATTTTAAGTGTGCGACCTGTATAGATCTAGCCTCATGTTTTCTTTTTTTACTTGGTGCTAAATTCGACTGTGATCCTTTCGTTTGATGCCCATCATCGCTTTTTCTGGACTCCTTTGTCTATTATATATTTGGCAACTTGGAAACACATGTGTCACTTTTCTCTCAAGATTTATTGCTCCATTCCAGTAGAGTGTAAATATAGTAGGCCAATGACTTTCAGTTGATGTTAATGCACTGATCATTCCTTTCATCGAAACGAGGCCCAGCTTGTAATATATAAATGCTGAAAGAGGGATAGAAGGACAGATAGAGGGAGACTACTCAAAATAACGGCATCGAAGAAATTGTCATTTTTCCACCCCTTAAGCAATATTTCTTTATTTTTCTTTCTTTTCTTTTGGGCTCATCATTTTTTACATCCATTTAACAACATATTCCTGGGAGGATATTTCTGAAAAACATTGATTATAGGCAAAATATGTAAATTTGTAGTTGTCAAGAACATTCAAGCCTTTGAAGTCACCAAAATTTGACAACCATTTTTTTCTCTGATTTTACCTCTGACATCAGCATCCCCACCCAACCAGCTTCAATTGCAAATATCAAGACTTCTATTCAAGATAGATAAGTATTTTTTCATCAAAAGTGAGGCACATGAACAAGCACGAACAATTAGGTGATACCATGCAGTTTCATATTCTACCGTATTGTGACACATTATATGCTGAAATTTAAAAAATATGTCCAAAGAGTCTAAGACATTGTGCAATTCAAAGAAAAGTAACAAATAAATTTTATACACACCAAGAAGATTTGATGGGAAAAACAGAAATATATATTTTTTTAAAGAAAAGAAATGCGACAGGAAGGGATGTGGGGGAGGGGTGAAAGAGAAAGATAATTGCAAAAGCATTTATAAATAATAATAATAATAAGAGCATTTGTATCCCGCCTTTCTCCACAGAACGGGCACAAGTCGTACATAGGAGATTAAAAACGCATTCATACTAACACCATACAAATTCATCATGTGCACACTTTTTGACAGCAACATTCTTTCAGACAATAAAAAATGCTCATACAAAAAGGCAATATCATACAAAGCACTTGAGAACTTACTCTGTTCTGGAAATCAATCTTCTTGTCACTGCGCCCATCTAACTTTCCTGCTAGGATAGTCACATTTCCATCATCTAAGAAGTTGTTGAGGGATGTGGCGTTGAAGAGACTTGTGATGGCATTGTCGGTGATTGGGATGGCGAAGTAATTGGCCGTTGTCACCAAGACAAAGTCTTTCCGAGAGTCCCCAGGCATGGTGGACCTTTGTAGTTTTTATTTAAGACCACAGATTATGGATAATAATCAGATCATTTCAAGTTCAGAACTTATATGATTCAAGAGTTGTATTCTGTAGACAATAAAAAGTTAAGTAGGAAATTCAGAATAAAATCGACTTCATTCTTCCACAGGATGAAACTGGCAATAACACAATAAATTTAAGGTGCCAGTTCATTTGACAGTCTACCATGATGTTTCTGTTCTTTTTGATGGTCTACCATGACCTGACCAGTCTGTCTAATTTGACAGTCTTGACTCTAAATATGGTTAACGTTATAAAAAAAAGATACTTCCTAACCACAGAGTTGATAAAACAAATTTTCTTAAGTCCGTTTAAGTGTTGAAAATTGCAAAGTCTCAAAGACCCCCCCCCACTAAAGAAAAAAGTGTATAGGTAGAATGTAGAGTCTACAGGATAACACTGATCATGAACAAAATTCTTAGGCAAATTTCTGACTTTTTTTAAAGAGAGGGCCTACAGTTTGGGAGTTAGAATATGAATCAATCAAAATGCGTTAGAGTCATGAGAGCAGACCAGTTTTTACTCTCGCAGTCCACAGTCAGCATTTTACAGAAAGCAATCTACGGCCGATTCTTTGCAACACATGTCATTGGCAAAAATTTAAATGAGCTGTTACAGTTAAAAGTAATGGAAGACAATATAGATCTAGACACAGACACAAATGGTGAAAAAGTCTAATAACTAAATAATACATATCATGTCATGCACGGATGTAGTTGCATCTTCAGTAGTGTTGGTTGTACAGCCTTACTTATTATCTTATAACTTATCAATCATAACTAGAGATCTAAATCTAGATCTCAGATACTTTTACATAAATACTTTTCCGATCCAGTGACCATTTGAGTTCTAGCCCTTCGGCCTGTCGATATGGCAAAGAATTTACAGGTTTTTATCAGCTGTGTTTTGTCTCTGTATAGAGTATTTCTGATGTCTGGGGAGGCAGGTAGGTAGGCACTATGCAGGTCGCTAAGTGCAGGGCAGGTAAAGAGGTGGTGTGATACTGTTTCATCTTTGCAGTCACACAACGGGCAGTCGGGTGGAGTATCCTTGCGGATCCTATTAAGGTAGGAATTCAGTAGGATGTGTCGTGTTCGCAGGCAAAAGATCGTGACTTATTCTCTTCTACTCAGGGAATTTAGTGCATCTTTTGAGTTGGGAGCAGTCATATTGTGTAAATACAGTTCTTCCAGTCTTGCCCATAGCCCATCCATTCAGCCACTGTTCCCTGGTGTAGCATTTGAAGATGTTCTTGACTGTCTGTTGTGATACTGGGTTTTGAGGTTGTGTTTGTGATGCTCCCTTCTAGGCAACGGTGTCTGCTCTGTCGTTTCCTGGGATGTTGCTGTGGCCAGGTATCCGCGTAAAGTCAGGTCGACGGCATAGGTCTGTATGAAGGTGTTGATTGTTTGAACCACAGAGAGGCAGGCTGGGCTTTCGAAATTCAAGTTTTCCTAAGCTTGGAGTACTGATTTTCCATCGGTGAAGACAACAGTGTCCTTGATTTTGTTTGGATATAATGAAAATGTTGGTCAGGTGGAGGATTGCTGCTTCAATGGCAATAGCCTCTGCCTCGTAATTTGTAATGATAATAATAAATGACATTTATAAAGCGATCAACCCTGATTAAAGTACACAGGCTCTGAGTGCTTTACAATACAGTACAAAGTACAACAGTAACAAAACGTGTTCTAACTAAAAGAAAATGACTCCAAATAGTTTTTCACATGTTTTGTCAGGATGTTCTTTTCTTACCCCCCAAAGCCTGCATTTATAGTTGCCTTGAAGGCCGACCCATCTGTGTAAATATGAATTGAGTCACTAAGGTAGGAGTCAATTGTCTTGAGAGCTATACGGTCTTCAGTTCTTCAGGGTCACATTCTTTTTTCACCTTCTCCTTTATGAGGGAAGTTTTGATGTAGGCGTTTTTGATGTTGGTGTTTGGGGGGAGTTCTGGTCTTAAGGGTTTCAGCATTTCTCTGTTACATGGAATTAGATGGAGTTTTTCTATTAGTTCAGTAGCTGTGTCAAGCATTGATCTTCCATGAATTCGTTTCTTTGGAATCTCTATTCACTTATTTTTCTGTTTGGGTGGTTTTTCTCTGGTCTTTTGTGTAGTGCTCACTCATTTCCATGCTGCCTCTCTTCGCAAGTCCAAGGGTTCCAGGTTCGTAAGGATTTCACAATACGAATCACAGTAAGCTGCAGTTGGAGTGGATCTCAAAGCTACAGAGACAAATCGTACAGCCTGATTCTGGATTTTGTCAAGAGACTTTTAAGTTGGTTTGCTGCAGATTGTCTGTAGGATTAGGTTATATTCCATGGCAGAGGGTAGGCTTCATGTATAACCAACATATATATAATATATGCTGTCCACTCCCATTGAAGTTCAGCCGTCTGAGAAGGAAGTCTCTTGTTGGCCTTAGTCTTCAGGTTCCAGATATGGTCTTTGCATGGAAACTGCCTGTCCAGCTCGATCCCAATGTAGGTTGGGTTTTCAACTGTTTCTAATTGTTTCCTGCAAGTGAGATATGACATTTTGCTTTGCGACTTAATTTTTTCGAAGTGACTATTTCTCCGAACGTTCGGAGAAATAGTGCCGATCTTTATTTCTCCGAACGGTTTTCGGCTTCCTGTCTCGTGATTTTTTGCCTATTTATTGCGAGAGTTCGGCGCCCTGGGAAGGAACACGTACCGCATGGCAAGCCCGCCTACAGACAACCTTCAGTAACACCCACCACACACCCACCACCATCATGCACATGTACACACACTAACTAAACATAACTAGTGGGCAACTTTTGAACGTATGACGAACTGAACTGTGGATGGAGAGACAGTGTGAGTGAAAGAGCGGGTGAAAGGAAGAATGTGCGAGTGTATCCACAGGCGACAGCAACTACAAGACGACGACACTGACCACCCCTGGCCTGGTCCACAGCTCACGAACAAAAGGAATGCAGCTCAGGCGGTGTTTTGCCTATATTATTGTCCATGGTTCGCAGGGAACAAGTGAGATTTTCTTTGTGTGTGCCTGGAGGGATGGGGTGGGGTATGAAAGTCATGCGGACGGGGATGAGCCGCGGGAGAGAACACGGGAATTGAATGAAAGAGTGAAACTGAAAGAGACGAATGACTCATGAGTCCTGGAGTGAATGGATCCTGTGTTTCTATTTTTGTATACTTTGAACTGTTACTGAATAAAGGCTGAAATAAAGCCCGAAAAACAAACAAACACACACACACACTCCTCACTCTCCACTTACTACCACACACAGACACACTCAAACACTCACACATACATACACACACACACACACACACACACACACACACACACAGGAGCAAATTTTTGGGTCTATATCTATTTCAATTTTCAACAGCTAGTCTAGATGAGATTTTTAGATGAGTGTAAAAACGTGAAAAAGAAAGGTTTCACAACAGAAAGAAATCAAAATTAGAACAGCCCATAAACAACAACAAACATTAACAAATAAGGGCGTGTGTCCACCTGTCCGAAGAAGATTGGCAGTTTTAACCCTAAATGTGCGTAATTTAAAAAAAAGTACAGGATATTACATGTAAATTATGGAATCACACACATTAAGGGGCTTGCCAGTGTCAGTACATTGGTCGCAGCAGTGACAAACGCAGATGCCAGTTCTATGTGTCGTTATCAATAACCCTCCGTAGATCTAGATCTAGACAGCACACGAGTGAACACAACACATTACGTTTAAAAGCAGCACCTTTCATAGGCAACACGTCATATCTATAGCGAAAAACTGTTTGGAATTGTAGCATTTCTTTATATAAATATTTACGGCGGACATTTTTTGGACCGATTGAACCATATTGTATACGAACAATCTTTGGTAGGCCCATACTATAATTATAGATCTCTATATAATATCCGAAATTTGGGGGAAAGGATGATATTTCAGAGTGTTCGGAGAAATAGTGCCCAGCTTTATTTTCCTGAATGTTCGGAGAAATAGTGCCCAGCTTTATTTTCCCGAACGTTCGGAGAAATAGTGCCCAGCTTTATTTTCCCGAACGTTCGGAGAAATAGTGCCGGCCTAATTTTTTTGTTGTAAAGACGGTGTAGATTGTCTTGGTACAATTTACTTTTAGTTTCCACTTGCAGCAGTAGTTGTTGAATCTATCTAGATCCTCATTTATAAGCAGTGCACTGATGCCAGCTTGTTAACTTGTATGCCAGATGCTAGGTTGTCTGCATGTATATAGCCTAGGGCCTTAGACCTTAGAGGCTTCTCCGATTTCAGTTCAGTATTTCTCAGGCAGGTCGTAATGAAAACAAGGAAAACGTGCAGCTCAGAGAGGAGCCCTGGGATTATGAATTACCATCCGAATTGAACAAATAAAGTATATTGAAAGAATATAACTATATCATAGTAAGACTCACAGCTCATAGGTAAAATAAATAATACATACTTCAGGGTAAGATTCCAGTTAAAAACAATGATGTGCCGTTGTCTACTGCTTGACAACAGTAAACTATACGGCACAGGAATGCTGCTACAAATCCAAACACAAAAGCCTAGTTCATTGGTTCTTAAACAATTAACGAATCAACGTCTTCGTTACAAATAACAACACAATGTTGTGCGCAGGTCTGAAATTTGTCTTCCGGTTTCACTGCACGTTTCATTTCCGGTCGTCGGTTTGTATGGAAAAGAAATTTGCTGAACCGTTGATTTTAGTCATGGTGAGACAGCAATGTCTATGACATTGTTGTTTTAGCCAATATCGTGCATTTTCTGAGCCAGATATTTTATTACATCCATTGTTAAAGATAAAGCGCTGCAGATCTTTTCAAATTTGTGAGGAGCCGTCTCAAACCTCAAGACAACGTTTCTGGGGACAGTGAGTTTTGATCATTATTTATCAATCGTTGATCAAGTTTCAACCAGCAGACGATTCGCTTTTGTTATCCTTTGACTTATATTAGTAGATGCCCTTCAACTTCAGTTCTTCGGCTTCTGCAGGCCTTAAAGATTGTCAGCTTGTTTTCATCTTCATATCAAATTGGTAGTCGACTTCAAAGTTTGAGCGAACACTGCAATCACATCCTGATTTGATTCTGATGATATTGTCACATAAGAGATCATGAAAGATGAGAATAACAAACTGTAAATGTAGGCTAAATCAACTAATAAGTGGCTTATTAGTCTGCGGTTTGATTCTCCGGTGCTTTTTCGGTAGTTCCCACCCCCCTTATTTGACTCAAATTTTGAGCCTGACCTAGATATCAAGATCGGTTCGGTCAAAATAAGGACGAAAACAGGCACGTCGACTTTAAAGATGAAAGCTATCTCCTATTTGCCTTGCCCTAGAGACAAACCGAAACCAGCTACAGGAAGTCATGTGATTGGATGACCCCAGGAATGACCTGTTTCAGCTTGTTCTCATGTTTGAGGGCCTTACTGGGTGCAAAAGTGACGCCCGATTTATTTACGAGTTCGGTCGCATTTTTTTGGTTTTCTCATGGATTCGGGCAGTATTTTGACATTCGGTCATTTTCAATTATTGTCACATTTGTTTCTTTGCAAGCTTAATAACATGATTTTTAATGTTTGTTATCAACACTTGGACACAATGATAGTTTGTCTAAAGTGGTATTCACCATTTATATTTATAGCTATTTTAATGAATATGTATCTGACCCACTCTACTATGTGGTATCTGACTCTACTACACTGGCATCTGGCTCACTCAACTACACTGGATCTGACTCGGCTACACTGATATCCGACTGTATTACACACTGGTATCTGACTCTATTACACTGGTGTCTGACTGAGTTAATATGATCTGACTCTACTATTATTTAAATTATGCACAAATTTTTTATTCTTTGTTATATAACCATTGGCTCTATATTATCTTATGTGCCCGAAAGATGAGAAACTACGGATTTTATGTTACAATCTGAGCACCCCCCCCTTTGGACGAAAACGGCGAGACTAAACGGCAAATTCTCTTTCATCCTTGACAGGGCCTCATATGCAAATAACTCTCCAGCCTTCAGAGTTTACCAAAACGTAGAATCCAGGTCACAGGCTCCTTCATCCATAACCAATGTTAACTCTTCCGGGGAAAGAGCTTTACGCTGTTTTGCTCAGTTGATGAAGAAAAAGCTGTCTTAAGGACTATTTTTAGCAAAATATCGCCATAACTGTTGTTTCAACGAAAGTAAGGGAGGTTGCTTTAGGTTTGTGTGCCACTCTTTTGGGGCTAGATTTGAAACAAAGTTTTAAACAATCTTTTTGTACTCCAGTGCCCGACAGCAAAAAAAAAAACGTGCTGCCCGAACCGGTACGATTACTCTAGATCTAGATCCATACACGATTGATTCAACGAAACCTAACAACTGCAAAACATTAAATTGTGATAAAATTCAGGGGGGCATGTTGAGTCTACTCTATTTTAGTGCATTGACATGTGACTGTAATTTAACCATTTCCTCTTTCTGTTGCCATTCCCTATTGAAAATAATGCCTTGTTTGTTTAGTGTGCTGCTATACTTTCTTTGTATTTTAAATGGTCATTTATCATAATTTATGGCTATTTAGAAACAAACTTTGCTCTCTGACCTTTAGGGTTCACTGGCTTTTCTTAATTTAAAGAATACACATAAATATTCTTGAATAGTGTGAATTCGTGGCAAAATGAACCGCTTCTTGTGTGGGTCCAAATGATTTCATTTTTTGTATTTACTCTACTTTTGTGCATTGACATGTGGCGGGATTTGGATTGTTCCCTCCATGTGGTGCCTTTTCCTCTATTGAAAATACCTTCAGCATATATAAGTCTGCAGCTGTACTTTCTTAACATTTTAAATGATTTCATGTGAAGTTAGAGTTGTGGTCTGCTTCCAGACAATATTTTGAGAGGCATCCATGATAGTGAAAAGAATTACACACGAACTTGACACTGCTAGAAGCAGTGAAGATCTCAAGATACATCTACACTTGTTCCATAATCAGCGCTTTGGTTTTTCCAGGCCAGTTACCTCTAAGGTGCAAGTTGTTAACTGATTTTTAAAGTAATTTCAGGAGTTCTCCACCTCAATATGATCATTTCCTTGTTTCTGAAGAATGTTTTAAGTTTTTAGGGGTTTTGGTTGTGTTTGAGTCATGATCTGCAAGGGGCTTTTTTTGTTGTTGTCTTTTTCAGCTACACATGAATGTTCTATATTTCCAGTGACTTACACTGAACCCTGTTTTGTGTGTGATTTCAGCTTGTACTGGAACACTGGATCAGAATATCAACTTGGGCCTACGTTCTAGGTTCACAACATTGGTACGTGGTCACTCCAATGTGAAAGGTTTTTATGTTGTGATGTTTGAATATTAGGTTTTCTATAAGGGCTTTAAGAAGAGGGATATAGTATGAAGCTGCAGTGGGTGTGGGTCAAGGTTGTAGAGGAATGGTTACAGAGAGAATACAATCCAGGGATTGAGAGGCTGGAATACTGATATTTTGTTTGTTTTTGAATGAGTTAAAAACACCTACCTGGCTGGGGTCGTGCTTGTATTGGGTGAAGGGTGAATTTATCCTTTATGGACACGAATAGGTAGAACTTTAGTTCAAGGTGACAAAATAAAAAAAACCTCTGGCAATATTTGTATTTTGTTTAGATATTTAAAACGCGCTGTTGAGTGGTTGGAGTTGGAGGAGAATTACCCCTCCTGTTGGTGTGGCATGGGTCAAGTTATCACCCCTCCAAACTAAAGGGGTAAGACAAAAGTTTTAGGTGCTATCTGGTCACTGTCAACATTTTGCTGCTTTGCAGTTTATGCCAGTAATATAATTGATATTAATGATAAAACTGTGATAAATTTTCATAGTATCTGGGAGTGTATGGAGCCTTAGTTACGATTTATACTGTTCTTGGAATTAAAAAGAGAGTATTTGGTATGAAGTTTTTTTCATTTTCAAATACATTTTTGCTCTTTACAGCACTGTTCACTTTCTGTTCCTTTAAGCATTGCCCAGTTTTTCTTTCTCCTTACAGAATCTCGGTTCTTCCGGGATCCCGCTCCGTGGACAGCGCTGCCCACCAAATCCTTTCATCATGCCGTCTCGACGGCGCAGACGTGAGGCCACAGTCCCTGATGAGGTTGCACCCAAGCGCAGCCGTACTCAGACGTGAGTTATTTAGTCATGGTAGTGTTGAGGCCAGTGGCACTGAGTGAGTTGGGTTTGAAGGGATCACCTCTTGAGTAGAGGCTCAGTTGTGTAGCATTTTGAAAAATGTATGAGTCATCGATTCTAAATATGGATTGAGTGTCTTTGTTTCTACTGGATAAAGAAATGTGTTGTTTTTATTAGTTTTGCCACTCTTGATCACTAGCACTTTTCTGTGTTTGACAGGATTCATGGTCATGAACATAAAAGAACTAAGGTTGACTTTGTCTTTCTCACTTTTCGTTTTCTGCTTTTGTTTTTGCTTAGCTTGGGTTAATAAGAATATTGTTATCACAAACCACAGTACAATTTAAAGATATTGTGACAACCCACAATTGTACAATTTGTTTTTAGGGGAATGTTAAAGAGGAAATTCGTTTTTTGATATTAAAGGCAAAGTTTCTTTACTCACTGACATCATGCCACAAGCATGTATGGGGCAACAGTAGCGACACTGGAGTTGGATTGCATGCATGTATTCTGTGTTTATTTTTCTCCATGTCAATATGTTTGTCGTCTTTTTTTATTTCTGATAACAGTGAAATATATTATGACTGTAATGATAGGGAGGCATTGCGCTGCCAAGAGCGAAATGCTCGCTTCTAAAGGGATTTGAAAACAACAACAACACCATGACTGTGAGGACCAGGCGTTGCGGTATAGCCTGCATGCCCACCATCTCCCCCAGCTGATCATAAAATTTTTCTGGACGATCTTGCCGAAAAGATATGTACATTTCGTGGCAGAGGAAATATTAAACTTCAAGAAAACATTTACATACACAGGGATATAATGAATAGTTTGTGTTTTATTGCAAGTTGGAAATGGTCAAAATAGTGCAACATAAGGTGCTCATAATGCACGGGGACCTACAGTTTCAATGTGTTTGTATGCAATTTGGAATCTTGAGGTTTTTTTTAGCTAAATTTTCTCAGTTGTTTTTCCTGGTTTAAGTCTACAAAGGTTGTGGAATGTGGGTGGTTGGCGGGTGCTCTGGTGTGGTTTGCTCCTTCTTTTCTATCAAACATCTGTCGTCTTTATCTCCCCTCCTTCTTTTTTGGGGGGGGTTTGTTACTCCCTTTTAACACCTCTAATACATCTATATGACCTTACTGTGTTTCAAGTGCCGTAAAACTGTTAAGAAAATTTTTTTAGGTTGTCTAATCTTTACTCTACAGACCCAGCAAAGACACAGCCACAGAGTTCAGCAAAAAGCGATGCTTGACTTGGTTCCAAGAATATTCAGGTACAGTGTGGACATTATGTACAGTCAAACATGATTTATTACAGTTGAACCTGTGTAAGACGGCCACCCATTGTCAAGGAGAAAAGTGGCCGTATAAGACAGGTGGCCGTCTTAGGCAGGACTGATCAAGATGAAGAAAACAAACCAATCTTTTCTGAGGTCCCACCCGAAGGTAGCCGCATTGTTGTTGTTGTTGTTTTCGCTGGGTTTTTTTCTTCTCTTTTTTTCTTTTGTTGCTGCTTTTGTACAAGGGTGACAGTAAAACGAAATGTGTGAGACAAGGAGGACCGGGTGCTATGGTAAAACAAACACACGTGTCGCTACTATTCGGAGAATGAGCGACGCTTCTGTCACAAGTTCAGGTTGACATCCTTTGTTACTTTGTTACAGACTGGGTAAACAGTGACCACTCATCTCACTTACGATTTGTGTGTATGAATTCTGGGCGGGGCTTATGGGTTATGAGGATCACACGCTTACCTCACCAGCAGCTGAAAATTAATTTTGTTACCTATTGGTCAACAGTGGGAGGGGCCTACGCAATATGATCGGTTGGAGGGACTACCTAACAACAACGACAGGTGATTAGATTATGACGGCTCGCCCACAACGCAAGAGCCCAATGCTTGATTTATGACAAAACGTAATGGAGTCACTAAGGTGGCCGTCTTAGACAGGTGTATTTGCTTTGTGTGATAGGGGTTGTGTGTTAAAATGTGATGGCCGCGGCCGCGTTGGACAGGTGCCCGTTTTACACAGTTAAATTATATAGAAAAAACGCAAGGGGGGAAATGGAAAGTGGCCGTCTTATAGGTGGCCGTCAGGGCAGGTTCGACTGTATATTGTACACAACCTGATTGTGTTCTTAGTTTTTGTACTGTTGCCTTTTTATACAAAACTTTTGAGGTTTTTTTACCAAGTTTTTGTTTTGGTTTGGGCCTTTTTTTTTTTTACTGCAAAAAAACAATTACTTTCAGAATGGTAAAGGAAGAAATCTTTTCAGGTTAATTTTTTTTATAAGGCTGTACTATATATAGATGAATCAAGTTTCTCATTGTTGTCATTGTTCAGGTCCTGATGATGACTGCCTTGGTCCTGAAGGAATGGAAAAATTTTGTGAAGACATCGGAGTGGAGCCAGAGAATGTAAGTGTCAGCTCTGTCCTCAGGCACCAACAGTACACAAAGGTCAAAGTTCACTTTTAATATATGAGATACTGCTCATTTGAACTTGTGATAAGCTGTTCCATAGCACTTTGCCGATCGGCGAGAGGGAGCAGCCGTCTGTTTTCCCCACAGGACACCGATTGACGATAGTGCAATACAGCAACAAAAACGCTGTAGGAGATCTCCTTTTAGACGTGTACATTTGTTAAAGTTTTTAACTTCCTTCCTGAATTGTTTGTGTGGCTTTTGAGAGTGGAAATCCATGTTTTTACAATTACAGTGAAAATATATTTTTAAATGTCGAGTAGGTCTGACATGAGTGCTGCTACTCTTGTGTGATTAATGTGCTAGATCTAATGTTTTTAGTTCTGATTCTGATTCCAATTTTCATGAACATGCGATTTGTCATGTTCAATTTTCTCATCAAAGTCCTGAGCATGTTTTATGACCTTTGTGTTTTTTGATGAGCTACAGATATAATATTGATGAGGGCTGGGACTACACAAATAATTTGATACCCGGTTATGAAAAAAATACCTGAGTACCCGTCTACCCGACATTTCAATTATCATTATGGTGTTTCTGTACTTCTCTGCCTGCTTGTGATTTCGTTTGGGTGTTTTTCCTTCAAATTCTTTAAGAGGCTTCAAGTTGAAGACTCATCAACTTTTATTATGCTTTTGCAGATGTTGCAGGATGCACTTTTTTCGTCTTTTTATTTTCTCAGAGTAATCCCGAGAGTATGACTTTCTTTGAGACATCTTGATAGAAACTGTGCTAAAATGACAAAGCCAAAGCTATTTAAACCCGTTTACTTCACATAATTCTTAGTAATTTTCCGCTTCTCCGTTAGATTCTTAGAACTGCACACTATTTGCTTCCATATATAAGGACATTGAAATTGAAACTATAGGCCTAGCCCAACCAAAGTATCTGAACGCTTCTTGGAAACTTTCTCTTAACATGCCCAAATGTGGCTTGTTTTGTGGTCTGCTGGTTTCCAGGGAAAGGAGGTATGAGTAGCAGTGGACACTAGTGGATATTGGCCAATATTGAATACTGTATTGACTAAGAGAGCTCAATATCTGAACGAAGGGAAGTAATTTAAGAGTAGTTGCATAGCATTAACGAAGGGGAGTAGAAAACCCGGGTACCCAACACAAATACCCTGGTAGCCGGTTTTGAGCTCTTTACCCGGTACTCACCCAGTCCTAGTATTGATGTTCCCATTTTGCTTTCTGGAAAGTGCAGACAAGGATTTCATGGGGGGTTCTTGTGGCCTAGAGGTTAAGGTGTTCCCCTCTCATTCAATAGGTCCCTGGTTCGAATCCGAATAGCGATTTTGTTATCTAAATTTGTTTCCTTTCCTGCTCTCTAGCAATGTTCTGTCGTCTGCTTTCGCCTCTTCTTTCTGCCCCCACCTCCTTTGCCCACACCTCTGGGCTCCTGACTCTTTCTGCTGCCTTTGTACTGCTACTCCCTGGCTCTTTGTTACTGCTGTCTTTCAGCTACACCCCTGATCTTGTGGTAGGAAAGATCTACACCTAGCCTTCTTGGACAAGGGTGAAAAATCTCGGAGGTCATGTGTGCAAGTTGCGCACGTTAAAGATCCCCTGGTGGCCCAAAATCGATAAGAGTAGGCTTCTGCGCCACCCAGGCAAAATTCAAAATTTTTTACCAATTGAAAATGTTTAATGTGTCCTGCGCGCTCATATGACCTTATGCAGTTGCGAGCGCCATAAAACACTTACCAAATATAAAATTAAAAATGTCATGCTGTGTGCGCAGCGTTGGTGAAAAGTGTTACAGTTAATTCATCGCTATAGCGCTACGTCAATAGATGTAATATTAGTCCATACTTAGAGACTGCCAATAGCATTATGTATACAGCAGATATGGGAATGTGGCAAAGCCCATTTCAACTTCGTATATTTAACTTTTGATTCAGTCTTTTTAAAGAAGTTTCATTTAAAAAAGTTTTTTTTTAATTTGTGAGGGCACTGTTGATTCTCCTGCTATATGGCGGTGATCTCTGGCAGTGCGTGCCGCTCTGTGTGATAACTGTAGTCATGAATAAGTTATCTTTTGGAGATTTACAAAACCATGTGTGTTTGTGTTGAGTTTTCATGTTAAATTCTACATGTACTTTCTACTCCTGGCAGATTGTAATGCTGTCCTTGGCCTTCAAGCTTAATGCCAAACGTATGGGATTCTTCACAGCTGAGGAATGGATGAAGGGCATGACAGAACTACAGTAAGTTATCAGTATGTCTAAGTGTTTGTTCTAATATCTAGCTTATGATATATTGTGCCATTAGTGGTCACTGAATTTTTAAGTATTGTTTTTGTTATTGCGAAAAATTTATTGTTTAGAGGCCCTGCTTGCTCACATTTAGGGCTGAATGAAATAAAACATTTAGCATTAAGCTTGCGAAAGGTTGGAGGTGCCACTGGCAGGTCAGAGTTCTTTTCCTTTCCTCTGTTGTTTCTATTTGTCTTTTTTACTCTTTCGCTGTGCGAATTAACAGTTGCTTGAAGTGATCGTCTTTTTTTAAACTAATGAAAAGAAGACAACAAGACTAGATTTCTCACAGTGACACTATTTTTTCCCCAGGTGTGACACAATAACTAAGCTTCAAAACCGACTGGACTACCTGAGAGCTCTGTTGAGTGACCCGACGTGTTTTAAAAACATCTACAGATTCGCCTTTGACTTTGCCAGGGTACATTTTTAAATACAGTGTTCATATGAAGTTTTCTTAAGTTTTTTTAAACATACTCTTTGGTTTTGGAGGGCTTGACATTTTTTAGATGTGTATAAAGCAGGTGGATGACATTTTGCCCTTTGTTGGGACCAAGTTTCTACAAGAGGAAGTAGTTTTTTTGTGCTACCGCTGTTATTACAACACTTTACATTTCCCATCATCCCTCCAGATTGTTGACTTTGTTGCAATGCCCTAACCACTCTTTGAGTTTTCTGTCTTATATTTTTTTCAAAGGGTATAATTTGATTTTCTTCTATGTAAAATTCCTCTTACATGTTGTCATTTGTAGTGTTAAGAGTCATGTGGGTGGTTGGCGGGTGCTCTGGTGTGGTTTGCTCCTTCTTTCCTATAAAAAATCTACCGTCGCTATCTCCTATCCTTCTTTTTTGTGTTTGTTGCTCTCTTGCAACACCTCTAATCTTCAGCACACACATAACCTTATTGTGTTGCTAGTGCCATAAAACTCTTACTGTGGGTGGTTAGCGGGTGCTCTGGTGTGGTTTGCTCCTTCTTTCCTATCAAACATCTATCGTCCTTATCTCCCTTCTTCTTTTTTATGTTTGTTACTCTCTTGTAACACCTCTAATCTTTTGGCGCTCATATGACCTTATGCAGCTGCGAGCGCCCTAAAACCCCTACTAAAAAGTTCTTGTCTATTTATGTGAATATTTGACAGGTCCAATTAAGGTAGAACCTCAGGGACATCAATGTGTCTTAGGTAGAGGTGTTACATATGCCTTATTTATTTTTTTTTAGGACAAAGACCAAAGAAGCATGGACATTGAAACAGCGAAAGCTATGCTGTCGCTGGTGCTTGGGAAGAACTGGCCTCTCTTTTCTTCTTTTCATCAGTTTTTGGAGGTGAGAAAACCAGCCCACATGAATTGATGTCTACTCTGAAGTAGTTAACTATTATTTTCTCGTTTCTTTTTTACCTGTGTTTATACAATTAACTGTGAAATGGTTATTACTACGTATAGTATCATTTGTTTTAAATAATGTCAGTTTCTCACCTGCTGTGTGTGTGTGTTTGTGTTTTCAGCAAGCCAAGTACAAAGTGATCAACAAGGACCAATGGTGCAACATTCTGGAATTTAGCCGTGCCATACAGTCAGACCTATCCAACTATGACGAGGATGGTGCCTGTAAGGACTTGCACCTTTTGCTTTCACTCATCATCATCGTCGTCGTCGTCATCATCATCATCAATTTCATCAGCATCACCTTTATCTTCTTCATAATCTTTATCATCAATATCGTTATCTCTACATTCTGCTTCACCTGTGTCTGTGATTTTGTTGTTGTTGTTGTTGCTCAAGAAACAAGTACCATAGTTGATGTCTCCCTATTTTTTTTGTAGCTCAAGAAGGAAGCACCATTATTATATATATAAATAACATTGTGTAAGTGGTTGAAAGGTGGTACTGGTAGGTCTTACTGCTTTTCTTTCCCTCTCTTCTTGCTGTCTGTCTGTCTCTCTTACTTTTTCCTTTCCATTAAATGACTGTTGTTGTGTCAATGTGCTTTATCTTAGTGAGTTAAACAAATGCTGTGGTAGTGTCTATGTTGCACTCTTGTTTTCCCTTAGTGACATGATAGTGTCTATAATGTCCAGTTCTAGTATTTCATTCATCACTTTTAGTCACATGATAGTGTTTATATCTTACTTTTGTTCTCCTCCAATCCCTTGACAGTGTCTATCCCACACTTGTTCTCCCCTAGTCACTGTGAGTTTTTTTGTTCCTCCCCAGGGCCCGTCATGCTGGATGAGTTTGTGGAGTGGCTCAAGGATCAGCGTGGTGTCTCTGGGGAGTCGGGCATGCCTACCTAGTGTTGATGTGTGTATGTGTTTGTGTGTGTATGTGTGTGTGTATTGTGGTCAGTCTGGGGAGCTATAAATTCCCATCTGGCCTCACAGCCTTTGTTTATGTCTGAGTGTGTGTGTGTGTGAGAGCTTGTGTGTGTGAGCTTGTGTGTCAGTGTCTGTGCCATGTTGTAAATTTGAATTTTTGCTGTTGTCTCCAGATGGCTGTCGAGTGCCTAGACTGTGACACAGATCCTAGGCTCTGCTGGTCATTTTTGTGTGTGTATATCAGTGTACAGCTGTTTGGTTTTGTGTGTGTGTGTGTGTGTAACAGACTGTGGCAGATAGTCCTATGTCTGCTGGTGCTGCTGATACCTACGTTCCCCCTAGACCCATATTGCTGAACTGTTTACCAGCTTTCTGTGTCCCGTGTTATCTGTTCCTGTCTCCTCGTATGATTTAAATCAGGTTTTTAGTGTACTATAAATCCGTCATGTGGGTGGTTGGCGGGTGGTCTTTTGTGATTTGCTCCTCCTTTCCTGTTAAAAATCTTATCTTCTCAATCGCCCCTCCTTCTTTTTTGTGTGTGTTACTCTCTTGTACCACTTCTAATCTTCGGCACTTATATGACCTTATTGTGTTGCAAGTGCCGTAAAACTCTTAGAAAAACTAAAACAAAAATATCTGTCATCGAAACTCTCCCTTTTTCTAAATGCTTTTAGCTTTTTGTGTGAAACCCAAGAAGCCATACAATCCCATCCCCCCACCCCCACTTATGAGAGCTAATCAAATTTGTTTTGTGTGTGTTTCGAGAATAGGGACTTTATTGGTCAAAGATGACAGTACAGTCACAGCTGGTTTTGTTTAGCATTGCTCATGATGTTGGAAAGGCATTGTGTTTTTGGGATGTGCCTAGTGCGATAATTATTGTGGCTGAGAGAAGGGTTTGGTTTATGATAGAAGAAAGTAGAAGACATGGTATTGTTGTCAGTGGGATGTGGCTTGTGGTAGAACTCTTTTCACTGACAGATGATGCTATGCTGTGACTTCTTGTAGGTAAAGGTGACTGGAAACTGTACAGGGGGGGGAGGGGAGAGTTTTGCTTTCTTTGAAATGCTTTTCTGCACGATCTGTGTAGAATTCCCAATGCTCAGTGGAATGAACAATGTGTAGGTGAACACTCTGAGCCTTGTAGGTCGAATGGGGAATGGAGAAAAAGAACAGTTGGAATAAAAGTGAGTGATATTTTTTTTTTTTAGTAATTGCTGGAATATGTTAGGGGGAAAACAGTGAGGAGGGCTGAGTGTAGACTAATTTTAAGTGGGTTGCAAGAGTTATGATATACTTTTGACCAGGGAGGGTTATTTCCCTTTGTCCTCAGCAGACACGAGTGTAGACCGGCCTCCTGCCTCAGTGCCACATGAAAGTGTTAGATAACTTGTTTTTACTTGTTCCTACTTGAGCTAATGTTTTACGTGTAATGTAAGGCCATTGTTGTAGCACATTGCCTGAGTTATAAGTTCAGCTGCTGTGTTGAATTGTTGTTTCATCCTCTTTTGACGCCAATATGATTTGATTCGCCAGCAAAATATTTTATTTGCTTTATACGGATGTATTAGCTTGTAATTATGTAATTAGTTTGGGTATGTTTGATCAGGTTTTTCACGGAATTGAACGTGAGAGATGTGTGATTGGTATAGTGACAGATGTATGATGACTATGATTGTGCTGGGTGTAAGAGATGTATGATATATTGTAACTACATATTACGATTGTGCAGGTGAAACGCTTGTTTCACTTATTAGGTCTTTGTTTTTTTTTCTGCTCTGGCTTGGGAATTTTTTTTTTTTCCTCAATTGGGTGTGGGAAATTCGTGTGTCCTTGCTTGATATTTGCAAATGAAGCTCTGTCAGCCATGGGTTAAGGGCTGAAGTTGTGTTGTAGAACTGCTTAGTTTATTATTGCCATAATAGTTTTTTTTAACGGCTCATGTAAAAGATTCCCAGTGCATAAGATTGACAAATGGCATGACCTCATTAATGCAGTATTACTTAGAATGTGGCTATTTATGTGGCTGACAGACCAACGTCTGCTGATGGTGGGTAGTAAATGAGTATTGTTGGCCTTCTGTTTGGGTGTATGCGCAGGTAGCAAAAATTCTGATGATAAAGATTGTGAATGTGTAGTTGTTAGGATTACCATGGAGCGTTGTGAGCAGCTTTAGCAGAGGAACTGTGGCTTGTTTCATTTTTTTCGTGGATTGACTCCAGCAATGTATTTTACTCGGTCGTTTGTTTCATGCCAGAGCTGTATGTATATTGATTTAATGCAGTCCTCTTGTATTGTGTTACGTTCTGTCTCTGGTTCAGACTTTTTTCCCCATTTCATCTGCTGACGACTTGCTAGTATTGACATATCCTTGTTTTATTTGCCTATTATTGGGATGGTTGTTGAGTAGACTACGTTGATCATTGTTGAGTGGACTGTCATGATGCTTGTTGGGTGGACTGATGGTTATTGAGGAGTGGACTTTCATGATGGTTATTGAGTGGACTTTCATTTGTTGAGTGGACTTTCATTGAGTGAAGTTTCATGATAGTTGTTGAATGGAGTTTTATGATGGTTGTTGAGTGGACTTTCTTGATGGTTGTTGAGTGGACTATCTTGATGGTTGTTGAGTGGACTATGAAGCTGAATGCTGAGACTCTGCCTTGTTGCTCAACACACCCAATGTTCCCAGGGAAAGAGCCAGTATCTCTGTTGTGACACAACATGCTTGTGCCTGATGTGTATATATATCAGTGATTGTGTGTCACAGCACGCTTATGTCTAATATGTCTACTGTGGACACAACACACGTATCTGATGTGTCTATGGTGGATGCAACACTCATGTGTTTGTGTCGGTTATTATGTATCCCCACATTTATGTTTTTAACTCACTCACCTCCATTGCCGCTCCAGTGTCGGTCAATAGGCTTCGACCACTCACCACCACTACCGCACCCGTGTCAGTCGTGTATTTTCCTCTTTATTTTTACTAATAGCTGACACATATGCGGCAATGGTCTAGCACAATTACCAGAGTAACATCCCTTTGACCACTCAGAGCAGTTTCATGGTAATACAATGATTTCCCTTCAAATTCTACCTATTTTTGGAACAGGAATTCCCTTTCTCTCATTCCTGGGTTTTGTTTTGAGCATCAGCTGCCTGAGTCGATCAAACACTAACGTGATGCTTATGCCGAAGTGAATTGAAAATGGCTCGTAAAACTTTTGAGATTTTGAATCCATAGGATTCAATGAACTCTGATTCTGATGATGAAGTGCAAATTTATGGTAGCTATGGTAGTTTGAGATGAGAGAAAGAGGCAGATCACCTGTCGACAGCAGTAGGATAGTACTAATGCTAGTACTACTACAAGTACTAGTGATTCAAGTGGTGACGCTTCAAATAACGTAGCCTAAGTCATCATAAAATAATCAATTCAGTTTGCTTTGTTTTGTTATATATTGTTGTGTGTATATAAAAGTATTTTTAGGACAGAAACAGCAAAAATATTGTACTGGCTAGTTTGGCCCCCAAAAAAGTTTCCGTCTCAAAAAGTTTTCTTTTTTTTTTTATCTGTAAAATATGAACAAATTAACATAGAGTCAAAATATTTTCTGTTCTGTAAAGCTCAACATCTCCTACTGTAACTGGTCAATTTTCATAAATCTAAAAATGAGTAGGTACAGAGTAACTTAATTTTTAAAAAGGTAAAAAAAGTTGGCAGGCAGCAGCTTGGTCTGAGCTAAGGCGCTGGCAGCGAGTGAGTTAAGTGAGACTGTGTTCTTACATGTCTTTGTCTGTTGTGTTTGAAGTTGACCCAACATGCATGTATTCGAGTTCCGAGTAGGTTGGCGTAGATACAAGCCTGTGTCTGATGTGTGGGTGGTGGGCACCAAACCCCTGTGTCTGGTGTGTTAAAATGGGTGTGCCTGGATTCGCACCTTTGAGTGAGTTTGGTGAAGCTGTTTACCGACGTGTGCAGGAGACGTGAATTCGATTCATTTTGGGATACAAATTTTATCGGGTATCTCTGTCTTTCTGCTGGAATGTTGAATCCCTCTCATCCTGGGTTGGCCCGCCTCTTAAATGACTTAAATGGTGTTGATGGGTACGTAAAATTTCTACTATTATATTTTTTAGAACAGACCATGCCTGTGTCTGAGTGCATTATTGTCTACGCTCAATCCAGGGCGTGTTGTATTCCATTTTTCTCTGTTTGTCATCATGTTCATGAGGCAATTGCTTCAGTTATTATTATTTTTTCTTTTGTGTGGCCTTGAGAAAATGAGAAAGATATGTCTGCACCCATGATATGTATACATTTTAACAGAAATAATCTTCTGCAATATAGATGTTTTTATAGTCTCCATGTGTACTAAAGTTGTACCAGTAAGATCCAAGTGCTTCAAAGAACTGTATGTACCCCATCACATAAGCATGATATCTTTGTTGTTGTACATAGAATATCTTGACAACTCTTCACTCAAACTATCCAGTGTTCATACCTTGTCAAAATATACGAAGGGGAGGGGGGGGGGTAAATGATGCCATACTCTACCATGTTCCCCAGTGTCTCTGTGCATCTGTGTGTATGTGTTTGTGTGTGAGGGAGCATTTGTGTGACTGGATGGCCAATGATATATGATGATGCAAGTTGTATGTATATATAATCTCTACTGTCGTTTGAGACAGATAGCTGTACATGTACATAATCGTCATTTTTTTTTGTCTTGTCGTGTTGGAAAGTAGTAACAAACAGTTAGCCTTGGGCATTCTGGTTTAGTAAGTATGTACACAATCGTCCAACTTTTTCTGCCTCCTAGTCCTAGTGTTTTACCGAGAATGGAATAAAACTAGGAGTAGCAAAGATAGAGACAGCACTGTGTACTGTATTGTGTAACCCTTGTAGTCAAGGGTAAGGACTCACATGCTCAAGTGGTGTCTGTGGTGTAGTGGTTAGGTGCTTTTCTATTCTCTGTCAAGTG